CAGAATGGATTGAATAACTTCATGTCTTCAGGCAAAAGACTATATTTTACCTCTCACACCTAAAATGTTATGGCTGTGGTGTTTTCAGAATAGCACATTTGCAAATCCCATAATATGTTCACTGGAAGCCCCGTGTGACTCAGTAGGGTGTCCTCGGAGATCTGCAAAGGGAGTCTCATTCAGCAATTTTTTTTTTTTTTTTTTTTAATCCTCACCCGAGGACATTTTTTCATTTTTTGTTCAGGTAGAGTGGGAGGGAGAGAGAGGAACAGAGAGAGAGAGAGAGAAACATCGATGTGAAAGGAACACATCGAGTGGCTGCCACCCGCACAACCGACCAGGGCCGGGGACAAACTGCAACCGAGGTACGCGCCCTTAGCGGGAACCGAACCCGGGTCTCTCAGGACCACAGGCCGACGCTCTAACCGCTGAGCCAAACCGGCCAGGGCTCATTCAGCAATTTTTAATTTCAGTTTTCCCATCTGGTGGATGGGGTGTGGCCATGCGCTTCCGGAAGCCCAGGCCTGGGCAGCAGCGCCCTCTCCGCACATCGCGAACCGTGTGAATGCGTCACAGCTTCACTGACCGCTCCTGTGTCGTCTGACTTGCCCACCATTCAGTATCTTGTTTTCCCTTGATTTCAAAATCCAAGACTAACCCCAATTCTAAACTCCTTGCTCTGCCCCTCATGTACCCGGATGTTCATTTAGTGCCCTTTCCCCCTGTTGACTTTGATTTAGCTTTTTGCCTGAGACAATTGCAGATTTATATGCCGGTGTAAGAAACAATATCCTTTCCACAGCTCCCCCTAGTGGTGACATTTTGCATAGGCTGCCATATCCAAACCAGGAAATTGGGTTTAATGTCTTTTACCTACTCTCATAGGCACTAGGGATTTTTAAAATTCAGAGTCGAGGAATCATAATTGGCATTATCACACTTTTAAGGTTTCTAATCAGATTAATCAGGTAGTAGGTAAGGGTCCTAACTCGAGGAACAGACATGGCTTCTCTGGGAGAAAAGGTTTCCTGAGGCCACCAGCTCTAGTCTGTAACACAGGGATCAGAGGCAGAGGAACTCAGTGTACAATGCATAATGATATGTCTTTATTTCATCAACAGAAATGGTGTCTAGACAAAATTCAGTTAACACTAGCAATTCAATTGAGTGAAAAATTTTTTTTGCACAATAGTGTATTTACAACGAGTAAATGAAGTTTCAGTTCATTAGTTCATAGCAATGCTTTTTGCCCCCCAAAAGGTAAAAATTCTTAGTTACAGAGAATAAGCATCAACAGCCATTTTCATCTTTACAAGAAAAACCACAAGAAAAACCACAATCACTTAGGAAAAAAAAAAGGACAAGCCTAAAAACTAGTACAATAAAATGATGCACTGAATTAAGTTACATTAATCGCATAGAATCTGTGTAAAAAGTATGTAGAAAAACACCTGATGTAACCTGTTACAGTCATTGACCAGTTATGAGAGGTACAGAGGGTTATACAGGTAGATATGTGTGAAAACTGTCCATATTGTTCGACCTGGGGAGGAAGAGAGAGGGGCTGCAGCCCCGTGCATACACTGAGAAGACCCTGTTTTAAATATGGCCTCTGGAGTTTGTAAGGCATATATTAGAGGTGCACTTGCATCAGACTGGTTCTGGAACAAATTCTCACAGGCCCTTTTGGCCTCACAAGCAAAGGTGGTGCTTGCCTTGCATGGCTCACGGTGTCTAACCAGCACCCCGAGCTCCCGAAAGCATCTGCAGTCTTCCTGATCACTCACTAGCGGTGGTAGGTCTTTTACGTCAAAGCGTGAATGGGCACCCAGCATTCACACGTGCAAAACACACTGTTAGCACTCAAGTGGAGGTCACCCTCTGCCTCCAGACATGTTTTGGTAGAAGACTTAGCATCGGTCTGTGGGGAGAAAGCCTCTCTGTCCAAGTCCCTTTACTATTTCCTGATACACATGTCTGATCACCCCCGCGGGAGCATTTGGCGCTGTGAGTCTACCTGAAATGAATGTCAGTGTACTGCTTCCAAGGAGAGCCACTGTTTTATCTGAGGTCAATACACTGGAGTGGAAAGGAAAGTCAGAGGTGTTTATCCATTGCTTGATGGTGAAATGCACACACCACGCCACAACATTGAATCAGAGCTACACAAGGGGGTCTCTGCACCCAAGTGGGTTCGCAAAGGGCAGCATCATCTCCCTATTACAATGAAAATGCACTGATAGTCATTTGATATAAATATTATCTCCCAGGGTGGAGTGTAGGAAAATACTATACACTTACTTTTCTTTGCAAGAAATGTTTTGCACCGTCGGTTGAATAATTTATCCTCCATCTGCCACAGTAGGTCTTTTCTATGTACGAATACTATTTGCACACACTATTTATGTGTAAGTATCTCCTATTCTGCAGCATCCATCTTTGATGCTGGGGTCGTGAGATGGCTTGGGCAGTATTAAAAACGTACAGCTTGAACACGGAATGCCTTCCCTCATGGATACCACCTCCACACGGGGCACTGCACTGTGGGCTGACCTGCCAGAACCGAACCTAAAAATCCTCAACTTTGGGAAGAAACACTAACTCATGATCCAGTGAACAGCTTTATTCTTTAAAAAAACAAACAAACTATTTCTTTAGTCTATTTACAGTGATGAGGACAACAGTTTGATTCTTGCTTCCTTCTAGATCTATGACTCCTCCAAACTAAGCAATAGTGGAGCAGCTTGAAGTCACTTATTAAGCAGCTCCCAGTTTAATGGAGTATGATGTATAGGACTAGGCAGCCATAAAGGGTTTTTAAAGAGCCTGACAGGCTTCTCCTCATTGTGAGAGGATTATGCTACTCCCCAGCGGATCAGCTCACAGGGGGCAGGACTTGGTGGTTTCTTTTTTTTTAATCCTCGTCAATGGGTATTTTTCCATTTATCTTCAGGTAGAATGGGAGGGAGGAAGGGAGGGGGAAGGGAGGAGAAGAGAGAGGGAGAGAGAGAGAAACATCAATGTGAAAGAGACACATCAACTGGTTGCCTCCCACATGATTGCGACCAGGGCCGGGACCAAACCGCAACCGAGATACGTGCCCTTGACTGGAATTGAACCCGAGACTCTTCGGTCCACAGGCCGACGCTCTAAGTGCTTAGCCAAACTGGCCAGGGCAGAACTTGGCGGGTTCTTAAACAGCTTATAATGCTCACACCTTTGTTTGTTTCTTCTTCTGTAATGGCCGTGATAAAGCATTAGAAGAAAAAGCGCAGGTGTAGACCTCTGACAAGAGCACTGACCTTCCCACTGCGCCCTGACGTCTGGCAGTCCTCTCGCTCGGCCTCTAGCAGCGCCTCCTGCCCTCCTTCGCAAGAAGTGGCAGCTGGCATACTGATCACCAGCCTTTTTTTACTTCCTTGGGAAAGCAATACAAGGATTTAATCCAAAATCATAGTGCATCTTAAAAGCAGCATACCTTTAGAAAGACAGTTAATAAATTACTTGTACAATATACAAAATAACATTTTCTACTGCAGCATCACATCTGACGCCTGAGTCACTGTGAGGGAACCGGAAGGGGAGAGGCAGGAGGGCCTAGGCACTGCCCGCTTTTTCTTTTTGCAACCGTTTTGTTCCAGAATCAGTACGTGATGGAAGTTCCATTAGCCAAGGCACCCCCACATAACGCAGAGAAACAAACACACACAGCAAAGCGCTCACCGGCCCAAAGCCTCGCCAACCTGAATGAAGCGAGATCGTCTGGAGACAGAACAAAGGGCGAGCCAAGGGGAGGACTAGATTCAGGCGGCTGTTGACTAGTTACAGGGTCACCTCCACCTGCCCCGACAACCCAAGCCACTCTCAGGTGTTTAGAGACCCACCTCGGCTGTCCTAGGGGTCCTCCCAAACAGTCCATGGCTGCGGGGGGGGGGGGAGGGGGGGTGTTTCTTTATTTCGGTAAGAAAGACCCTAAAGAGCACAGTTAAATGTCACCATGCTGTGCAAACACGGCTCCTGGTGGTTAACTTGCTTTTCCTTTCCATAAAAGACGTGGGCTTCGCGAAGGAGTCCCGGGGAAAGGAGGCTGGTTTTTAAAATTCCACTAGAGGAAATTTGGATTCTGGTCCCCAGCTAGTCCTCCCTTTGAATGAGCCCGGAGATAATAACAAACACATGGTTTAGAGCAGTAACAGACACGGACATGTCACATTGCACACGACCAGTTGCTGTTCATGGTGGACAGTGAACAAAATCGGACCAACTTGTTAAAAATCTCTAAGAAATCGAGAGACAATTTTTCAAGCAGTGTTTTTAACCAGTTCCCACGGCAGGGGTTTGGCTGGGGAGAGGAGTAAAGGTGAGGTGGGGTGGGCAGGAGGACTGACTGAGTCGGGGGGACAGAAGGGGGCGCCCCTCCCCACCGGACGTGGCCGCGCACAGGTGTGCGCAGACCAACCACGGGAAGGGGTGGGCGGAATGTGGTCAAGACTACCAGTTGCACATGAGTTGTTACCGGGGTAAATCATGCCAACAAATTGGTTTGGACCTGGTTATGATACGAGCAGAAAACATTCCTTTTTAAAAGAAGAGGAGGAGGTCACTTAAAAAAGGCAACAAGAGAGTTAGAAAACAAAATACTGTTGGCTGACTCCGCCTGTGATGGATCACGTGATTCACATCGCGGTTAGATGCCAGCTGTCACCAGTTTTCCACAAAGGCAAACCTCACGGTGACGCGAAGAACCAGCCTACTAGGCCAAGAAATGCCAACAGCCATAGTAACGACAGTAGCTCCAGTACAGAGCTTTATCGCAATCTGTCTCGGACAATCACACACACACACACACGAGAAAAAATGAAAACCCAGAGGCAGGTTTTAAAAGTGGAACTAGTTGAAAAGAAAAGCCTTTTTTTTTTTTCTTTTTTTTTTTTTAATCCTACTGCATGAACCAACAGATTTCTGGCATTCATACATATTTAAACATTTAGCGCTAATATTTGTACAGAAAAAAGTTAATAATACTAAAACATATGTTACTATGATTTCACTTTTCGCCTACATCATATACTAATTCCCCCTTTTACATGCAGCTTTAATATTGTCCAAACAATGGCACAAATAAAGAAACAAAGTCAACCACCTGGTCCCCCTGCCCACCACCCCGTTCCCACACCAAACCCCTAGGGACTCTTCCCACAGCCAGGCTGGAGGGCCCGCTGGAGGGCGGGAGCTGATCCCCCTCCTCAGCGCTGGCTGCGGTCTCAGCACATTTTCCTGTAAACGTGGCCAGGGGCCAATATGCCCCCAGAGCCGAGGAAGCTGCTCTCTGTGGGTTGCAAGCCAACCAGTTTTGCAGCAAGAGAAGAAAATGATCATCAGGTGAGGGTAGGTGTGTGTGTGGTGGGGGCAGGGCCAAGAGAGGGTTCCTGGCCATATCATGTCCAAAGACTCAGACTGAAGTCTGACTTGGGACAAGAGACTGGCGGAAAACCTCAGAAGACAACTCAAAGCTTTTGGAGAAGAAAGGGAGAAAAATGCTTTTGCCTGCGTCAGGGACAGACCTCAGGCTCACTTCTGCCCTGCTCTCTCCTAGTCTGGGAGAGCTGCATTAACCCAGGACAGCCACTTAGAGGCGGGCCCTTGGGGCTGCAGCTCATCCCCTCAGGTGAGATCTCCTGGGGGCCCATACTGGTCAGCCAAGTCCCTCCAAGGAGAGGTCCTATTGCATTACTCCCAGGAGCAAGTGAGGCCTGATGAAGTGTTGAAATGAATGGGACTTACCCCCTGGGTGAGCAAACAGTTCTAACTTGATTTCTAGAAGCCGATGCCTGCTGAGTTCTGGTATAAAATTGTGGGTTCCTACTGTTCTGATGCACTGTCACGTGAGATGCCCAAACTCTCTCCCCACTTAGGACTCTGGACATCCAGCGTCAACTCCGAACTCTCTGTCTGCATTTCAACTTTGCTTATTATGAAAGGTGGGGAGAAGGTGAGATATAAAAATATTCAAGCAGATTATTGTTGACATCCTAGGATGAATTCATTATTTGGCAAGATTGTTTTTCCTACATAATTATCACCTGAGTGGTTTTTAATTAGCTAAAATGTTTTACTTTTAAACTAAAAGCAAAGAATATACAGTATACTTGAGTTATACTGAAGTTGCAACTTCATTTAAGAAAATAGGTTTGACCCAAAACTCAGTGCAAGTGGCAAAGTTGACCATGACTGTACAGTGTCTGCAGAAACAAACAACAAGCCCACGGTACTCAGATGACACCATCCGACGGTGCCAAACCCAAACCAAACCAACAGAAAAGGTCATCTGAAATAAAACCTTAAAATAAAAGCCTCCAAAATTGAATTCTGTCCATAAATAAGTACAAATTGAAGTTGAACTGTGAAGCAAGAAAAATGACCATGTTAACAACAGTTACCAAACTAGTTCTAGCATCAGAGACAAAAGAATAGGAATGTTGGAACCTGTCTGTCAATGAGAAATGAAGTTTCCAGTTTTAGGATGAGAAAGTTGAGGCATGCAGGACTTTTGCATATGGAGAGAGATATATATTTTATATATATTATATATAATATGTACAGTCTAGCTATAAAACTTTGATGTGTATAGAAGCTGTCTTCAATGAAAAAAATTGAACATTCAGAAGAAATTCCTGAGATAGGGTTTGTGACATGGGCCACTGAGAAAAAAATCCGTGGTTGGGTCCTAGAGGTGTTATAGTCTATCCCTGTTAAGATTGAAGTTAACCCACAGACAGACAGTGTCATCACTGTCGTCTTTCCTTGCCAGGGCAAGGGGTAGCACCATTGTGAAGGTAACTATTAGCACTCCTGCATGAAGAGAGGAGGGAACACTTAGAAACAGTATTGCTGCTAAGACCGCTGTAGTGTGCACCAAATTCCTTCTCGGTTCTTCCAGATGACAGATGAACAGCGCCACCTGGTGGGAGAGGTGTGAGAACGGGGAGGCCGGTCGAGTCACTAGGTGTAATCTTTCCTGGGCTGTTCGTCAGTTGTACACTTATCAGTCATTTCCTGGCAGAAGTCCACGGTCACCGTTTGGCTCCTGGGTTCAAGAGGAGGTCCTCTCTCTGAGAAGGTTCCTGGGTCAGTGCCTTCCAGCCTTCGAGCAGAAGTACAATTCTCCGAGGTGCTGCTGGGGACCCAGGGGGGCCCCGGGGGTGCTGTGCCCTGCTCCAAACAGCAGGGAGCGGTCTCCCCCACCGCACACTGGGGGGCGGCAAGGTTCTGCTCGACACCTAAGGGTGCAGGGCTAATAGTGGAGGCTGCAGGGAGACCCATGGGTCTGAGGACAGGGCAGTACCGATGCAGGGCTTGGACCTGCTCCGGACTCTGGATGTCTCGGCAGACTTCCTGGGAAAGGCAGGAGAAGTTGTCCAGCAGTTCCCCCATGCACGCTTTCAGCTGATTCCTCTCTGACAGCAGCTTCTCTTTCTCGCACACCTGGACACCAGAGAAACAGGAGAAGGCCTGATCAAGTCTGATCTGGAGGACCCAAGACCTCGTTTCTGGGGGCTTTACAACTTTAGTTTCGTAGCCTACATTACAGTCAGGAATGGCTAGGTCAGGGTCTGCAAACTAAGACGTATATACCGGGGAGCCTGGGGCGTACACTTCTGTCAGGTCTCCTATCTGAGCAGCCCGACCAGATGTGCAATGACCTGACACCTTCCCTGTGGCAGCTCTTCGTCCCTCTTGGTGGCCCAGCCAAGTGACCAGCAAAGTCACCACCAACCAGAAAACTGGGAGTCAAGGTTCCAGCTTCTTGGAATTTGGAGTTTGTAGAGAATTAACTGGAAAACTCTTGGTTCTAAACCTTATAGCTGAAAATCTCCCCCAGATATATCAGATTGCCATTTTTGAAGGTCAAAAATAATCAACCAAGGCAAAACTTTGGTGACAGTAAAAAGACCAGTGGTTTCCAGGGATTTGGGGGAGGGGTGGGGCAGAAGGAGGAATGAATAGGCAGAACACACAGATTTTTAGGGCAGTGAACCTACTCTGTATGATACTATATGATGATGGATGTATGTTATCATGTTATTTATACATTTGGCCAAACACATAGAATGTACAACAACAGTGAGCCCTCATATAAACTGTGGACTTTGGGTGATCTTGATGCGTCAATATAGGTTCACCAACTGTAACAAATGTAACTCTGGTGGGGTATGCTGATAATGGGGGGCTGTGAGTGTGTATGGACCGAGGGCATATGGGAACTCTTTTTTTTCCCATTCAATTTGGCTATGAACCCAAAACTTCTGTAAAAAATAAAGTCTATTTACGAAATGAAAAATTTTAAAAATTGACCATCGGACCCTGGCCAGTTTGGCTCAGCGGTTAGAGTGTCGGCCGGTGATCCAGAGAGACCCGGGGTCAGTTCCCACTAAGGGCATGTACCTCAGTTGCAGTTTGTCCCCGTCCCTGGTTGGGTTGTGCGGTTGGCAGCCACTCGATGTGTCCCTTTCACATCGGTGTTTCTCTCTCTCCCTCCCTCCCACTCTATCTGAATAAAATATCGAAAAATGTCCTTGGTGAGGATAAAAAAAAAAAAGTTGATCGTTGGAAATGTCAGATGGTTCGATCATCATCAGCAGGCTCACTGGCCTTGGTAGCAGACAGACCAGACAGACGGAGCACAACAGCTGCTGCTAGGACACTGGGGACCCTGTAGGGGGCCAGAGTGCAGATTCTCCCTGGACACCAAAGGGCAGACGGAGCTGTGGAGACCGAGGTTCTGAGATGTTTTCCTTAAAGAAAATTCCACATCAGCTCTTGTGTTTCTCAAATACATCACCGCCTCCCCCCTCAGAGAGATGAATTTAGCCGCCAGAGTGGAGACTGATTAAGGTTTTACTGCAACTGCTGTGTGAGGAGAGAGGATCCGGAGGCTCCAAGAGGGCGCGCAGAGAAATGGGTGGGGATCCGCACCTCCGGGCAGCCGAGGGAGTCCGCCCCATGCTCCGCACGGTGACGGGTGGGGGGGTGCGGCGAGGATGGGAGAGAAAATGAAGGTGAGAGAAAGAGGGGCCAAACATCCGATGTGGGAGCTCCTACACGAGCTGCACGTGCGGTACCGTGGACGCAGCCCGGCCGGCACGTGGGCAAGGCTGTCAGAGGCAGAGATTTATACCGGGAAAGGGCACCTGCTAAAATATTTATAAATTTTCCAAGAAAACATGTTTTAAAATTGAAAAATAAACAGATGTACAAGTGCAACCCGAGAGAAATACATTATGCAAGTTTGCAAAAGCTGAGTGGCATGCTAGAGACAGTGTGGGAGTGGGGCGTCAGTGTGGGAGTGGGGCGTCCGTGTGGGAGTGGGGCGTCAGTGTAAGCGGGCTGGGGACTTGGGGTGGGATCAGAGTCATCCCTGCCAGAGCCACCTGTCACTCAGACCACCAAGTGGGGGCAGCACCACAGCCAGAAGGCAGCATATAAGAAACCAAACCCAACACAGCGGTGCAACCTGGGCCTTCTGTGCTGTAATCTGGACGCCTGTAAAGGGGCAACACTACCCAGCCCAGGAGGGGAATTTGTTTTAATTCTGCCACAGCATCTTGGCCAAGCCACCGACCCCTCCACATGTACTGACCTGCAAAATGTTCCAGATCACATTCTAGAGTGAAGAGAATGAAATGTTATGTGTGACTGTGTTTTGGCTCATTGCAGGAAAGACTTGGTTAAAAGGAGGGCACTAGCTCTAAGTCACAGCTAACTATATACTGATGAGCACGGGAAACCCGTTCAGCAGTGAAATGCCGCATATTATTTAAGGGGTTTCCAAAAAAGTTGGGGGAGAACCAGGAGGTACCCTCTTGGCTTCCCAGCTGACCAATATTAGCAAAATGCTTTAGATATATGCCTGGTGTGTGGCTTAGACTTCTTATTTGTTTAGTATCACATAATCACATGGAGAAGAACGCTGACTACAAAAATTAGGCATTTCTCAAATATGGGTGATTAGAGTTATTCTACCACCTGAAGAAGAGTGCATAGCTCCAGAATTCCTACGGACACGTGCCTAAGACCTTGACAACTCGTACCTACGGGCCCAGCCTCGCTGGCGCCCTACCTCAGCCCAGCAGGCTTTCAGGAGACCCATACTCACCAGCAACAATGCTTAAATTTTACATGGCTTAAATTTTTAAAATGTTGTTGCTGTTAAGATAAAATTAAAGCAAAATTTGAAAGAAAGAAGCGATTCATAATCCCATGACCCAGGTGTAATTTCTAATACATTTTAGGGCAGCAGACACTGCCTGAGAGGCTTCAGTGAGTCTGCACTGGAAATTCACAGATGATCACGGAACTGGCCCCGTCGCAGAAACCTACATGGCGGGCAAGGAGCTGGGCGGCAGACACATACACAAACAGTGCAAGACTAATGTGATAAGCACGAAGCTAGAGGTCAGATCGTGGCTCCAGGGGCAGGTGCCCGGCCTCACCAGGGACTCAGGAAAGATCTCCCTGGAGAGGGGACAGTAACCTGAGTCTTAAAGAATAAAGCACATAATTAGAGAAGAGAACAGTGGAGGAATATCCGAGGCAGAAGACAAATAACAGGCACAAACACAGAGGTATAAAGAGGAGGAGATGGGGGAAGTGTAGACAGTTTGACTTCATCAGGGGTCAAGTTCTAGGGAGGGAGCAGAAGAATGTTGGAGGGCAGCTAAAGACTGAATCATGGAGAACATCATGTGTCTTGCTAAGGAGCTTGGCCTTTATTTTGTAGGTGACAGAAACCACTGAAGATGGGCAGGTTTTCCCTGGTTGGTGAGTGTTAATTAAAATAAAAAAAATTAAAAAGATTCTGAGGTCCAGGACTATCTTTTTTGTTTTTTTAATTGATTCTTTTAGAGAAAGGAAGGGAGAGAGATAGAAACATCGATGTGAGAAAGAAACACTGATCAGCTGCTCCCTGCACACCCCCTACTGGAGATTGAGCCCACAACCTGGGCATGTGCCCGGACGGGGAATTGAACTGGGCCCTTTCAGTCCATGGGATGACACTCAATCCACTGAGCCACACCAGCTGGACGGTCTAGGACTATCTTGATAACACATAACATTTAATCATGCTTTTCTTTTTCTTTTTTTTTTATCCTAACCCGAGGACATTTTTCCATTTTTTGTTCAGATAGAGTGGGAGGGAGAGAGAGAGAGGAAGAGAGAGAAACATTGACGTGAAGGGACACATTGAGTGGCTGCCACCCACATGACCAACCAGGGCCGGGGACAAACTGCAACCCAGACACATGCCCTTAGTGGGAACCAAACCGGGTCTCTCTGGACCGCAGGCCGATGCTTTAACCGCTGAGCCAAACCGGCCAGGGCTAATCATGCTTTTCAATGTCTCATCTTGCTCTTAGGTTCACATCAGGACAGTGGCTCACCAAAAGGCAAAGGATCGTTGCCTGCAGTCTGAGCACTCAAATGTAGATCATGACCACCCCATGTGGCCTCTCTCCTTTGCCCTGACACAGATAAGGCCCCTGAACTCAGTTTCCAGTGTTTGGCCAGCAAAGAGGTCGACCGGAATGAGGTTGCAGGGGTTGCCTTGAAAGCTACAGCCAGGAGCGAGGCCACCTGGATTTACTTCCAATAGCTTAAGGTGGTTTATCAAGAAGGGGGCACAGAGCTCCGAGTGCCAGGGAGCTTGTTCCCTGAGACAAAATACTCTCAGGCACGGGGGCGACATGACAGCTGCTCTGGGCAGAGCTGCAGAAGCAAGGGCGCTGGGCTGTGGAGGGCTTCAGGAGACCCGCTGCCTCCCAACAGGCAGGCGTCCGGCCTCTAGCCTACACTCTCTCGTGGGAGGCAGGAGAAAACACGATCTGGAATCAGAAAACTGGGTTTGCAGTCAAGCCGGCCACACAGTGGGGAGTTACCTGACCTCTGCACTCCAGTTTCCACCTCTGTAAGTGGAGATCAAACAGTACCTAAGTCATAGAATTGATGTGAGGATTAAATGTGATCATCTACAAAAATACTTTAGAATAATACCTGGTCCGTAAACATACACGCAATAAATGTCAGCTATTAGAACATACTGAATAGAAAATAAAAAAGAATTACCTGTATATAAAATATTGACATGCGATTACACACCCACACAGATACAGCCATGGTAGATAGAAAGCTCGTGTTTTTGCTGAGAAATTTGTTTAAAAATACACCTGAACTTCCCTGAGTGGTGACCCTTCTCTTGACCTTTCCAGCCTTCACTGACTGCAATTCTGCATCTGTCCTGGTCACCAGGCTGCTGATGGCAGCGATGGGTCAACTCACCAGTTTGCGGATTTCACATTCTAAATTCTGAATACAGTCCAGCTTCCTCTTGCGGCAGCGCTGGGCCGCGATGCGGTTCTTGCTCCGCCGCCGGACGTCATGAATGAACTCTAACTGTTCTGAGGTTAGCTTGTGCATCTTAATCATCATCTGGAAATCATTCCTCGGAAGATCTGTGATTTGATCTACAGGAAAGGGAAGTTTAACCTGAAACCAAGAATAACAAATTATGATTATGGCAGCTGGATTTCAGTCTTAATTCTGGCAGGTAAAACATCAAAACATGGTAAAAGCCTCCTTTTTAAAATGACCAAGTAATATGGAAACTACTGAAAGTAAGCTGTGATGAATTCTTTTCTGTTTCAAATACAAATAAGATGCAATATTCAGGTAATCAAACAGAATGTGATCACCCACATTATGTGGTGCTTATCATTCCTGAGTTTTTTTAAAGCAAGCAGCATGGAAAATACTGGAAAGTGTGTCCTTTTTCATCGGTATAGCACTTTTGTAAGAAGGATTCTCTAGTTAGCTGAAACCTGCTTCCCTTGAGCCTGAACTCAATAAAACGACTATTTATAGAAAGAGATCACCTATAGAATATTAAACACTTGAATGAAGAGAGCGCCGCACACCTTGAAGATGCTGGGAAGAGGGAACAACCAGCGGGATGCTCAGTTGCCACGGCAGACACAGGGAGGACAAAAGTTAAAACAGACTTTTGTCCTTACCACATCTGAGACCTCAGACAAGTTCCTTTACTTCTCCAAGCCTCAATTCCCTCATCTGCAAAATGGGTCATGCTTTTTAGCCTCACAGTGCTCTTCCAAGTGTTAGGCGGTTTGGCAGATTGTATTTTCCAAACTGCACCGGCCATCCCATCTTACATTTTCATTTGCAACATGATATTGGCCTCCCTCTATCAAGAGGATGCACGTTCCTGCCTCCACCAATACCGTGCAGCAGGAAGGATGGTGTGTCACTCGGCAGGTTAATCATGGAAGCTGCTGCAGCTCCCTCCTAGGCCTCCCAGATCGCTCCTTCTGGAGGGAACCCGCTGTGCCTCAAGGACACTCAAGCAACCCTGTGGGGAAGCCCTGAGGCCTCCGGCCAACAACCGGTATCACCTTGCCAGTCACCTGAAAGGGCCACCCAGGAGGTGGGTTTTCAGGCCCAAAACTTCAAATGCTTGAAGCCCCAGCCAGCCCCCAACTTCCGCTTCATGAGGTCCCTGAGCCGGAAGTGCTCAGATGGGCCACGCCTGAATTCCTGACCCACAAAACAGGGGAAGATGTTAAACAATTTTTTGCTGTTTTTTATTTTATTTTATTTATTTTTTAAATTTATTTATTTTATCCTCTCCTGAGGACATTTTTGCATTTATCTTCAGATAGAGCGGGAAGGAGAGAGGAACAGAGAGAGAAACATCAATGTGAGAGAGACACATCGAGTGGTTGCCACCCACACAACCCCAACCGGGGCCGGGGCCAGGGCCAGGGCCAAACTGCAACTAAGGTACATGCCCTTAGCAGGAACCGAACCCGGGCCTCTCTGGTCCACGGGCCAAGGCTCTAACCGCTGAGGCAAAACGGCTAGGGTGATTTTTTTGCTGTTTAAAGCCAGAGTTTGGGGTGCTCTGTTAAGTAGCAATAGATAACTGACACAGATACTACGATCAGCAAGATTCCTACTTTCAAACTCTTGACAAATCAAAGCAAATCAGCATGATCCAAAGAGAGGTTCTACTCTCTTGAGGGATGGGTCGTTGTCCTCCTTATATGGTTAAATGCTTCCTTACAACCTGTGGTGGTTTGAAGTGTTTAAGAACTACAGCTCTCTAGGGCCTACTTAGACACTACCCTCTCCAAGACCTGTACTGATGATGCAGGGACTTCAGGGTTCAGTTCTGTTTCTGTTTCAGAGGCTCCTGGAAGAGGAAGGTTGCATATTGCTCTACCAAGAGAGAGAGTGTTTCCCAGCGCAGACAGCTTCCTTCTGGCTTACATTAAGCGTCTGCCTTCTGACCAGCAGATGGCGCAATGAACCTACGCTTCCTTCTAGTGCGGCCCAGCGCTGTCCAACGCAAACAACGCCAACTGTGTCTGGGAGTCTACATTTTCTAGTAGCCACCGATTAAAAGATTAAAAAAAAGAAAAAAAAGGTGAAATTAATTTCACTAATATATTTACTTGAACCCTATGGATCCAAAATATTTTCAACATGTAATTAATATAAAATTATTGTGATATTTTACTTTTTTGGAGGGGAGTGTTACCAAAATTTTTCAAAATCTGAGGCATATATTGTACCTACAGCACGTCCTAGACCATCCACAATTCTAGGGCTCAACAGCCACATGTGTCTATTGTATTGGATGGCATGGTTCTAGAAGACTGAACAAACGGAGTCAAGAGAACCTGAGGAATCAGAAAAACAGGCAGGTGGTTCTGAGTTTAATTGATCAAGAATATTTTTGGGTGAGGAAACCAAGCCCTCGCTAATATTCAGAAGCTGCAGGATTATGCCTGTGTTGCTCAGGGAAGGAGTTGAAGCTGTTTTATCAGGAGCCCAGGCGTTTTCTTTGGCTGCCTCAGATGCAGGCAGACAGGAGTCCCGATCTTAGCATCTGTGGCAAGTGAATCCCTGTGCGCAAGGCAGTCGTACTGAAGGATCACGAAGCTTTTCTCTGGCTGGGCCCAACTGCTCTGTCAGTTCCTCCACAGCTCTGAGCCTGCTGGGCGTGGCACGCACTGAAGGCTCCCAGTGGGGGTTACAACTCAACTTGCGCATGGTGAACTCTGTCCCCTGACACCTGTAAAGCTTTGGCCCAAGAGAACAAAACTGCAGCGACACACATTACACCACTCTCAGCTCAGCCCTGCTCCGACTGCTAAAGACGGGCAGCTGGGACAAACAGCTCCTTGTTATGGGCCCGGGAAAGGGCTTTGTCCATGGGGCTGTTTGCACAGGGCTTATACTGATATGAAAGAATGTTTGATTTCCCTTTTATACCCTTTGGATAACAAACAGACACTCAGATCCTGGATGGTGCCGAAATAACACAGAGGTCTGTGTGCTGGGGACACGGATGTTTCCACACCAGGCAGGAGCCTTGTTTGCACAGCAGAGGTTGCAGCAGTTCTGGGCCTTGGAGCCTCCCTTCTGCTGACAGCAAGGCCACTCTGCTTCTGCTCTAAATTGTGTTTACTTATTTTCAGAACGAATATATACCTATAGTCCAAGCCACAGGGAAAGTCAAAAGGCCTCCTATACCAGGAGCTACTGTATTCAAAAGCATCCAGGCAGTGAATATAAAACACCAGGGAAATAGGACAAGGGTTGACAGGAAAGAAGAAAAATCAACAGTGCTTGTTTCAAAGTCCTTGAAGCAAAGGCCATATAAAATTTCAGCAGAGCTGTTGCAACTCCAGCTGCTTTTTAAAGAGGTCAAAGGAAAAGAAAACAGTCAGCCGCAGACCTTCTTCAATGTGGGGAAAACAAAAAGCAACAAAAAACCCAACCACTCTCATTTCTTTTAAAAAAAAGCTCTGTTACCCCTCTAGCAAGGGAGAACTTCCACTGACTACCAAGAGGGAAGTCCCAGAAGTGTTCTTGGAAAGGCACAGGGTCACTCACCACAGCTGCTTGTTACTTTTAGAGAAGTAAGTTCCAAGCCAACTGGCATGGTCCCTGGAGATAAAGAGCAGCCACAGACCCCGCATGGAGCTGGGGGAATACTCCGTTCTCGGCTCGCAGGCCCCCCAACACTCTTCACGGGGCTGCAAAGTCAACTAATGCCACTTGAGCTCAACAGGCTGAAATACATGGAGAAGGCTGAGGCCCTTCTCCCTTCCTTCCGGAGAGTTCTTATAACCCAAATAGGCCCAGCAGGGCTCCCCATCTTATTTATTGTCCTTCTCCACACTTCTTCTTCCGAGATTTAACTTCTCAGCAGTGGTTTGATTTTCATTCACTGGACTCTCATAAATAGTGCAAAACACCCCACAGGACAAGATGGAGACCTGGCCAACCACCACCAGCCCCGTCCGAATGGCCGACCACATGCATAGGGAGCTCCGCAGGGAAGTCTGACAGGGTGCCCAAAAGGGGAAGAGCCTGTGGGGTTGAGGGCGCTGCCTTCTTTTCAGGCTTGAGGCAGCTGCATAGGTGTTGCCCACGTTTAGGTTCTGGGCAGAGACTGTGCGAGGCAGGGGCAGCCCGCGCCAGCAAGCGGAGGGCCACGTGGCCCAGGGAGCTCGCTCCTGCTGACTTGACCGGGCCCCAGCAGGGCGCTCAGGCTCTCCTCCTCCTCAGCACAAGAGGAACAGGGCAGAGGAGGATTTTTAGCCCGGAACCTACACTGGCTGGCGAAGGGGTGACCAGAGGAGGGTGAGACCCTTGGGGGGGCCCCAGCTCTTGATCAGTGTGGAATGGGTGGCCCTGCCAGGTGCTGAGGGGCTCTGGCCCCAGAGGCTGGGAGGATGCGGTGTGACGTCTGGAAAGTGAATGAAACCTACATCGTCCTCCTCGAGGGCCGACCAGGGGATACCAGTGCTTCCTTCTCACCAAACACAAGTCAGCTGCCCACTCCCCGCCCCTGCCAACAACTGCCCAGCTTCTGCAGCCAATACATCCCTCTCTCTGATTAAACAAAAATATCATTTAAGAAATTATAGAAGAAATATAACTTCTTGCAGAAAATTCAAATATGAGACCAAAGAAGGGAAAAAGATTCCCCTCCCCAAACGATGACTCCTTTGATCTGGTGGACTTCCCTGTGACCTTTGTTTCTCTGAATAGTTTACAGGGTTTTGAAAGATGGGTTGTAACCACCTCACAATGTCTCTTAACACATCTCACTTGCCTGGTGTCTCTGGTTGGCTGGATGGGGCTATTGGAGGAGAAGTACAGAGATAAAATATTGCAGAACAAGCCAAAAACAAGCATCTATTTTCTCTAGAAATCCCAGCGGAAGCTGGTGTGTGGATCTTCTTTGCCATCTCCTTTCTTGGTTTTAGTACCAGATGTTGAGTAGAAGCCACGAGTCAATCCTACTAACACTGCCCTGAGGCCCTGATGTGCACTCCAGCTCTCCAAAGCCTCTCCCACTTGTGCTCTTACAAGACCCTCAGATCTCTGCGTTGCTGGGGGAGGAAGCAAGATGCCCACTGGGGCTGATGAGTCCAGTGCTGCTGGCATGGGTACAG